TAATAAATACAGGTCATATACCTTCTGTGTAATTTGGTAAAAACAGGTCGTCCTCACATCTTATATAACTTCTATGGTTACAACAGGCCTCCTATGTTTCTCTTTCATCATTTTTCCACTTGACATCCATGCTCGACATACATAAACGGATGTACAGGTCAGTCTGTGTCTCTATGATGTGGTTACTCTAGGTAGCTAATGACACGACACAAGTATTTGAGAAAAGACCTTTAACTGTTACACATTCACAAACTCCTGTATATACATATGAAATACCACACACATGTGATCAGTTGACGTCTCCTTGATTGCACGAGCTCATTGCGCGTATGGATATATATTTCACTAGGGCGAATGAAATATATCCGTTCGCGAATAAAAGAGTTCAATCTTAGCCGTCAGATGGAGACACGTGTGGTATTACTTTTTACTTCTGCCTACTATTGATTTTTGCTTGAATTTCATAATTTCTGAAAAACATTACTTAGCATTTATTGACTACCCGGAATTAGTTTTCAATTTGCTTCCCAGAAACTGGAATGTAATTTGTATGGGTATGAACCAGGGACAGTATATAGAGGGGATTGGCAACTCTGCCCCAGTCAAGATTCTATAGCACGTCGCTTTTGTGTTTGTTCACCGAACCGCGAAGTCATCGAGAGCCCCTTTCGATCAGCCCGCGCTTGCGCACTAGCGTTAAAATTAAGCACGCACCTGCTTTCGGTGTCATGTCACAATCTCGCCGAGATCGAAGTGTTTTGCGGTTAGCCCTAATTGGGACTGTGTATTAGTTGGTCTTCTTTTTATTCCAGGGACAGGGCTATCGTTGCCACTATGTGTAGCCTTTCGGCTGTGTTGGTGGCTTTACAACAAATCACATTTCGTAAAGCACGTTCCAGTGAAAATAATGCTAATATTAACATTTTTTGACACAAAAACAGCACTAGTTATTTGTTATTTGTTGCCATAAAAATTAGAACTACATATCAAAAAAATATTCAACTTTCTATCGCTGTAAATTTCAAGAAGTATTTTTTAAATGAGCTGATCCTCGAATGCAAGCAATACTTTTTTGTTGCGTTTAACCTTTCCGGTTGTTTACGGTTTTTAACAGCACGTGTCCTTCGTTATCAGACGAGTAATTTCATCTGTGACATCGCTATCGTTCCAAATAATGCAAATCAAATCAGGCCTACTTAACATAGAAATTACTCGGCTGTTTATTGATATTAATTGTTTTAAAAAATACAAACGATAGTTTATAAAATTAATCAAAACAGTGAGCAGTTACCAACTACTTTCGCCATGATTTACGTTCCAGTGAAAAATATTGCTGATATTTA